TCTCACTAGCAATGCATATGGGATCCAGTTTCTCTGCACGTTCACTGACATTTGGCGCTATTTTTTACTTTAACTATTCTGATAGGTATATGGTGACATATAATTGTGGTTTTATTTCATTTCTCAATGGCTAATAATGTTGAACAATTTTTTCATGTGCTTATTTGCCATCTGTATATCCTCCTCGGTGAAATTTCTGTTTTGTTTTGTTTTTTTTTCCTCCCTATGTTTTAATTGAAATATTTAGGCTTTTGCTGTTGAGTTTTTAAAATTCTTTATATATGTCCTAGATACTAGTTCCTTGTCAAGATATGTGATTTGCAAATATTTTCTCCCAGTCTATAGCTTGTCTTTTTATCCTCTTAACAAAGTCTGTTACAGAGCAAAATGTTTTCACTTCAATGAAGTCCAAATAATCCATTTTTTTCTTTTATGGATTGTGCTTTTGTTGTCAAATTTAAGAACTCTTAACTAAGCCCTACATCTCAAATATTTTGGTTTTTTTTTCCCTAAAAATAGTTTTACATTATACACTTAAATCCGTGATCAATTTTGACTCAATTTTTATATAAGTAATGTAGTTTAAGTCAAGATTATTTTCTTTCGTCTGTTTTTTGAGTTGTTCATTATTTTGTTGTTGAATTGTATGTGTTCTTTATGTGTTCTGGATACAACTCTCCTGTTAGATATATGTATTGTGAATATTTTCCCCAATCTATTTTTTTAACAGTATCTTTTGATGAACAGAAAATTTTAATTTCAGGTACGGAGGTACTTCAATGAAGACTATGGTTAGTTCTTTCATATTTCAGCTAAGTTAGTTCTTTGCTTACTACAAGTGCATGAAGACATTCTCCTATGTAGTGTTCTAAAATATTTATCATTATGTCTTTTATATTTAAGGCTATAATCTATTTTGAATTATTTTTGAGTATGGAGTAAGGGAGGGATTGAAGAGAGTTTTCCCCTCCTTTTGATATCCAGTTTTTCCAGCACCATTTGTTAAAACTAGTCTATTTTCCTGAATTATTTTTCTTATAATTGTTTATTTATTTGAGAGAGAGAGAGAGCAGGAGAGAGGCAGAGGGAGAGGGAGAGAATCTCAAGCAGACCTCCCATTGAGTGCAGAGCCTGACATGGGGCTCAATCTCACAACCCTGAGATCATGACACAAACCAAACACGAGTTGGACACTTAACCGAGTGAGCCACCCAGGTGCCCCAAACTTGTCTACTTTCCTATTGAACTGATTTGGTGGCTTGGTTCAAAGTCAATTGACCACATATCTATGGGTTTATTTCTTGATTCTAGTCTTTTCTACTGATTATTTGCTTATCCTTATGCCAAAACCACACTGCCTCTATTAATGTAGCTTTATAATACATCTTGAAATAAATCTTGTTAGTTCTCCAACTTAGTTCATTTTCAAGATTATTTTGGTTTCCACTTCATCTGCATTTATATATAAGTTTTATAAACAGATTGCCAGTATCTTCTAAAAATTTTGCTGGAATTTTGATTGGGATTTCATGGAATCCATAGATGAATTTAGGAAAATGTGTATTTTAATAAAATATTTTTCTAATCCATGACATGGTATTTCTCTTCACTGGTTTTGATCTTCTTTTATTTCTCTCTGCAGTCTTTTGTAATGTTCAGTATAGAGGCTTTGCCTATCTTTTGGTTGATTAATTCTATATTTGGTTATTTTTGTGGTATTGGTATTATTCAATTTTATTTTAAATTTATTATTACTAGTGTTACAGAAAAAGGATAGATTTTTAAAAATTTATCCTGCATCCTGTGATTTTACTAAATCCACTTCCTAATTCTGGTAGCTTTGTTGTTGTTGTTGTTGTTTAAGATTTTATAGGATTTTCTACATACTGGTTCACATAATATGAGAATAAAGAGAGTTTTACTTTTCATTTTTTTTCAATATGTGTTCTTTGTTTCTTTTTCTTAACTTATTATAATGCTAGAACTTCCAGTAAAATATTGGAAGAAATGGTGGGAGCAAACATCTTTTTCTCATCTCAGAGAAAAAAAAAAATCCTGATTTCACCATTAAATATGCTGTCATTTGTAGGTTTTTCAGATCTATTCTTTACCAGACTGAGGAAATTTATTCCTATTCCTAGTTTCCCCCAATTTTTTTTTTTTATCATGAATGAATGTTGAATGGTGTAAAATGATTCTTTTTACACATATTGAAATAATTTTTCTCCCTTATTCTGTTAAATTTATAAATTACAGGGGTGCCTCTGCAGTTCAGTTGGTTAAGCATCTGAGTCCTGATTTCACCTCTCATGATCTCAGGGTCATGAGATTGAGCCCCATGCTTAGCACAGAGCCTGCTTGGGATTCTCTCCTCTCTGTGCACACCCCCTGCCCCCACCAGTTCATGCTCTCTAAATAAATAAATAAATAAATAACACTGATCAAATTTTTAAATATAAAATTAACCTTATAGTCCCAGGGAACCACCTTCTCCCACCTTGGTCATGATACAGAATCCTTTTGGTGTATTTTTGGAATTAATTTGCTAATATATCATTCTGGATTTTTGCATCTTTGTAAGAGACATGATTTTCATGTGTGTGTGATTTTTTCTTTTGTTTAGATGACATTGCAGTGCTATAAGGAAAGTTTATGCTGATATTACAAAATACATTGAGAAGTGTTTTTTCCTTCCTCTATTTTCTGAGTGTGTGTAAAGTCAGCATTATTTCTTCCTTAAATGTTTGATAAGACTCACAAGTTAAATTATGTGGTTATCTTTGTTTGGAAGCTATGTTTGTGGGAAGTTATCTTTGTAGGAGTAGGTATCTTTGTGGGAGTAGTTATCTTTGTGGGAAGATTTTTCATTACAAATTCAAGTTTTTTAGTAGATCTAGAGCAAGGAAGTAGAGGATGGATAGAGTTCCTGCAATACTGCAGCAAAATTGTCTTAATTTAAAATCAAGGCCTGCAGCGTGAGGCCACTCCACATGAGCGTATACATGGCCCAATGTCTAGAGTTCTCTCTCTCCATGTCCAATGTCTAGAGTTTCTGCCCTTTCATTCTGTTGCTTCCTGGATTATCACCAAAACCTCTGGAAACAAGATAAGATCCCAGTTAGTGAATTGTCAGAATTGGCAAATCAGGTAACATCTGTGGGTCCAGCACACTGAAGACAGCTTTTGTTTCTTCAATCTGTATTTAGTGAGCCTTTACCATGCACTCAGCTTAGAGTTAACAGATGGAAATAAGGGGAGCAGTGGGTGACACCCCATTGCCTCTGAGTCAAGAATGAAAGGCAGGGCGCCTGGGTGGTTCAGTGGGTTAAGCCTCTGCCTTCCGCTCAGGTCATGATCTCAGGGTCCTGGGATCGAGCCCCGCATCAGGCTCTCTGATCAGTGGGGAGCCTGCTTCCCCATCTCTCTCTGCCTGCCTCTCTGCCTACTTGTGATCTCTCTCTTTCCCTCTCTCTGTCAAATAAATAAACAAAATCTTAAAAAAAAAAAAAAAAAGAATGAAAGGTGAATCCCTATAGTTGGTGTCTGGGGAGAGAACGCAGAGAGACCAGAAAGCAAAAACGTGCCTGACCTGATGAGCTCAGGTTCTGCTCAGACTCAAGAGAAATGGCCAAAGTTTGGGGAGAAGACCTAGGTCTCCTGTGTTTCCCTCTCAGAGACCTTCCTGGATCAGACTTAACACCCAAAAATGGGATCCCAGCAGGCAGGCAACAAGGGCTGAAACCCCTGCATTCCTAATAGTTTGGTAAAGGAGTTCCAGGATCCGAATCAGATTCCCAGGCCCTTCTCCGATCTCCACACTCAAAACGTTCTCAGTGGAGCCAAGAGCGCATGCATGTTTAACAAGCTCCCGGGTGATCAGATGACTGGGCACATCACTCCATCTAACAACTCAAATGACAAGGGGAGGGAGAGCATTCAGAATGCCAAGAGGTCAGTGTTCCAGGCTCTTGGTTCTGCAATGCAGCTAGCTGGCTGAGGTAACTTTTCTCTCTTCTTGGAACCCCTCCTGGCACCCTATGTACTTGGGGTCCTTACCCTCCTCCACCTTGTTCCTGCCACACATTCTAAGATGGGGGGTGAGGGGCAGAAATGGGGTGTTGCCATCAGACAGACTTGGGCTCTGTGAACTTGGGAAATCATTTAACTTCTTTGAGTTTTAGTTTCTTACTACAAATGTAGATAAAGATCCCTTTTCAAAGAGTTTTGTAAGGATTACATGAGATAATGTGTATCAAGCATTGACCACAGTGTCTGGTACAAAGCAAACATCCAGAGAGTGTCAGCTGACACCATTCAATAACAGACTGTGATCTCCAAGAGGGCAGGCAACATGCCTTTTGTTTCTCCTGCTGGACCTGGTTACAGACTAGTCAGTCATGTTTGTGGAGCTGAAGAAGGAAGCTCAATCTGTTGGTGCTGAAAGAAGACCTGAGGCATCTGCAAAATAGGTACACGTGCCCTTTCCCCTCCTCTACACACAAGCTTCCTCACTCGCTTCCCCCCACTTCCTGTCTTTGCGCGTCACCCCTTCTCTCCGTCAACATTATCTCTCATTTTGTGTAGTGAGAAGAATAATACAGTTCGGGATTACTGAGGGCTAGCCCTGGGTCCGGCATTGTCCTCAGCTTTTCAGCTGTATTATCCCAGCGAATCCTCACCACGGCCCTGGGAGGCAGCCCTTGGCAAGATCTCCATGGCAAGGTGAGTCGGCCTCGGAAGACAGAGGTCACGGGGCCTGCCTCAAGTCACACAACCTCAACATGGTGGAGAAGCCAGGCCGACTTCGTGTTCCAGATGCCTGAGGACTGTGTGTGTGTGTGTGTGTGTGTGTGTGTGTGTGTTGGAGGTATGTGTATATGTGGCTATGGTGGCGGGGTGTGTGTGCTTGTGTGTGCGTGCGTAGGGAGACTCCGTGCGGGAGAGTACATAACACATGCCCTCTGCACCATGCCAGCCCCCTGCGACCCCCTCAGAGCTACCTAGAGCTCCCAGCACACAGAGCTCATGCTTTCATTCTTGCCAACAGGAAGATATCCGTTCCTACTGCCCTTTGGGGAAGAGAGAAGCAGCAGCAAGGAGGCCCAAGTAGAAGGAGAGAGCAGCTCATAGGAAGTCATTGGCTTCTTTGACCCCCAACCTGTCCTCTTTCTGTCCCTTCCTTGGCTGACGAAGGCACCAAGCGCCCAGCGCGCTGACAGAGCATCTGCCAGAGCCGGTGCTGGGACACGCCCCCAGTAGCTATCGGCCTCCTCTGACCAGCCTGAACCCGTGGTGCTGACGGGCTTCTTGTCCACACGATGATGTTCCACAAGCTGTATGCTGTCACGTCAACAGGACGGCGTAGCCCAGAGAGCTGCCCGATCTCCCCCTTGGGGCAGATCTCCTCCTACCGTTTCACGAATCTGGTGCCCAGCCGGTGATCCAGGTTAGAGAGTGTCTAACTGGACTGGGTGCTGGGCATTCCCCAAAGGGGGAGCTTGCCTGCCCTTGGAAGCATCCTGAACGCAGAGCCGAGGGTTCCAGAGGGCCGAGACAATCCTCCTGTATTCCCTGCGGAAGTTCTGGTTCAGGAGCCCATAGACGACGGCATTAAGGCAGCTATTGAAATAAGCCAGGAAGTAGCTAGCCACAAAGAGCCCCTCTGGGACTCGGGGAGCTATTGCTTCTGGATCGATGGCCACAGCAAGGCCGATGCCGTTCAGCGGGGCCCAGCAGATAGCGAAGACCACAAACACCACGAACATGGTCAGAAAGCTCCGGACGTTGCCGGGCTTCAGGCTCGGCTTGGTCTCCGGCTTGGCCCTCCTGCGGGCCTGGAGCACCAGCACCCAGATGCGCAGGTAACAGAAGGACACGACAGTGACGGGGAGGAGGAAGTGAACGATCACCACTGCCATCGTGTACCGGGCGCTGGCCGTCTGAATGAAGGTGCAGGAGTAGATGCGTGGGTCATATGCCAGGGACCCCGCAAAAAAGTTGGGCACCAAGGCCCCCACAGTGAGGAGCCAGATGAGACAGACGTAGAAGGGCGTGTGCCAGGGCCGGCAGATCTGGTGGTAGGCCACGCTGTGGCAGACGTGGCAGTAGCGGTTAAGGGCAATGACGGTGATGTTGAAGACGGAGCCAATGGCACTCAGGCCCATCACAAAGGCACTGGCCTTGCAGTGCGCCTCCCCCAGGGCCCAGCCATCTTGGAAGATGGCCGCGAGGATTAGCGGGTACGGGTACAAGGCCGCCGCCAGGTCAGCCGATGCCAGACTCACCAAGAACAAATTGCCTGGAGCAGGAAAGAGGGAGCAAGAGTCAGCAAGAGACCCCACAGGTCCTAGCCTGGAAAACATTCTCCTCTTTACCCAGTCGCTTAAAATTAACTATGTCACTGTTAGTATTGGGGTTGGGGACCTAGCGGCTTTTAGGGACATGGAATTCAGGCTCAGACTGTGTTTCTTCTACACATTGTGTGGCTTAGGCAACTTACCCAAGTGCCCCAACCCCTCAAGCCTCATTTTTCTCATTTGTAGAATGGGAATAATGATTCCTACTTTATACTATAGTTGTGAGGGTCAAATGATGGGGCAAAGTCCTGGAGGCACCATGGATGCTCACGGATGATGACTGTTTTCACCACAAGCACAGATCCTCAGGAGCTCTGCATCACTGACGCTCCGGCAAGGGTTCTAAGGAGAAGCATCTGAATATCCAGAAAGTGGCTTCACTAGCGCTGGTCCCGCCCATACTCCCACCTTCCCACAAGTGGCTCTGGTAGTCCCCTTTTTTACCTCCTCCCGCCCTGGTGAACAGGCTACTTTCTAAGTGTCTTTACCTCAGTTTTCTAAATGTGAATTGCATCTTGCAGGTGGGATCGAAGAAAGGTCTGGGAGTAGGAACCATGTGTTCTGGCGTTCGCCTGCCTGCCTCGTCTGGGGCCTACACTCACAGCCAGACGGCCTTGTTGGCGGAGAGTCCCATCCTGTGGGGTCTCGTGGCCTCCAGTGGCCTCTCTGCATTGCCCGCACCTTCTCCAGCTCTCTGAACTGCCTTCCTCCTCTGAATGCAGAGTTCTCTAGCCCGAGAGAGCCTCAGTAGCCATAGAGAGAGCCTCTGGAAACCACAATATCCATTGAGTGATATGCTTCAGGCATGTTCTGGGCCAGGATCCTAGGGAAGAGCTGGGGCTAAACCAAATTGAGAAATGCAATATTTCTATTTCTCAAGCACTTGGAGTCTAAAGCAAACACTGACTCATGAAGAAGGCACCAAGGGTCCAGAAGAGTGGCCAAAACAGAGCTCAGAGCACGAGAAGCTCCATCCTTGATGTGACTGCTTCCATTCACCAAGTGTCCGGTTTGAGCGCGTACTGCATGCCCAGGAGCTGATATCCTTTCCCGGCATGCAGTAGGTACTAGTGTCGTTTTTCAAGCCCTCTGGCCTCTTGCCATGTGGTGAAGTGCGAGCTGCCGGCCCTACAGTGGCTAGACAGAGAGAGAGGATGGAATGATTGCAAGAGGAAATTCCCGAGGAGCTAAGGGTGCTCACTCCACGATGACTACGCGTGTGCTCTGTGTGCTGCAGAGGCTGATGTAACCTTCTCGGGGATGCAAAAGCATCAGGCAGATGGAAAGGGTGCAAAAGATGCAGCAGTCAGAGAGACCAGTCTTCAGTCTGGCTTCAAGAGGGTAGGGGGAAAGGGAAGCTCAGAACCACCTGGCTGGGGTTCCCCACTCCCCGAGTCAGACCTTCAGGTGAGGGAAACTCCACTATCATAGTTATAAACCCACAAGGCAGAGAAACGGCTGCTTCCGGGCTTCCCCTGTTCCCACCCACATTCATTCAGCACACCTCGAAGAAAATTCCACAGGATGTACTCCATGTGGGTGTGGGAACATGGAAGACCCCCAGGCAGCCTTCGTTTGGATGATTAAAATGCCTACAAGCTGGTGAGCTCTCCTGTCTCTCCAGACATTCACGGAGAGATGGGGTGTGAAGTGGTCCGGCCTTGGCTTGAACTGTGGATTCCTTCTCCTTCAACTCTGTTAGGGATCTATTTACTCAGTGGGGTGAAACCCCCCCCACATTGTTTCTGCCGGGTACAGCCTGACAAGAAATGCACATCTGAGGACCTGCTCCAGGGGCGGAGGGGGTCTCCTCCTTTTCCATTTAATTCCCAGTTTTGTTTACGTTCTCCACTGGTGGATGCCAGCCTCTGACTCTCCTAGGCAGACCTCACCTGGTCTCAAGACAGCGAGCATTTCCCCTCTCAGAGTTCTTGTTCTCAGCGGCATCAGCTGTCCTTGTCTCTTCCCAGAATCCTAAGTGTCTTTTTGGCGTTGGGAGGTGGTGCTGGAAGGTGGGATGACCTGAGGAATCTGTTTTGCAGCTTTGAGGTTGGGCAACTTCCTGAAACTTCTTTCTCCATGACTGTTCTTTTGCGGGTTCCCTCCTATTCTTTGGAGGCCCTCCTTCCTTTTCTTTACACGCACTTGGTTGCTTCTGGGAAGAAAATCGCTTCTTTCTGACACAGGAATATTGGTCCTGGCAGGGCCCTCTGGGCTCCCAGTAGAGCCGCAAACAAGCTTTTAGCACTTGCAGGCACGTGCGGAGAAAGTCAAGGGCTGCTGGGAGCGGCTGCCAGCTCAGCCAGCTGTTTCCCCCCGAAAGCCAGTCAAGCTCCGCCGTGTTAATGTGGCTCATCCCCTAATAATGCCCCGGAGGCTGGCGAACAGCTTGTAAATAGTGGGAAGAACACATTCAACTCCACAGAGAGAGTGATTCAATTACTCTCCCCTATTACTCGGGCTGTTCCTAAAAGGCTGAAATCAACCAGTTCCTGCCGTGGGTTCACCCGCCCAGACGTCGTACTGTCTCCCAGATTTCTTGACATCATTCCAAATTAGGCAAATAAAATTCTTGTTTTGTCTCCCATCTGTAAGAAGCCAGGTCCTGTCTGGATGGTAGTCAAGGGAGACCTAGTCGTCTATCCGTCTCTCCCCCAGACAGGTGAGAAATCCATCAGGACGCGCACAGCACCGCTCAGCCCGCTCTGCGCAGGCGTCTAATGAATATTCATATCACGCATCCTGGCGTGACTTCTTTCCATCTGCCTCCACCAGACAGGGTGTGTGAGTGGAGACAGACTTCCACAGCAGGCCTTTGTTCTCTAATATGGAATTCCCTTTAAACAATCATAGGAAAAGCGCATCCCTCCACAATCCACTCCCTCCTTGCTTCCTCTTCCCTTTTTTCCAGGAAATCTATTTCTTTCTTTCTTTCTTTTTTTTTTTTTTAAGATTTTTAAATTTATTTATTTGACAGAGAGAGAGAGATCACAAGTAGACAGAGAGGCAGGCAGAGAGAGAGGGGGAAGCAGGCTCCCTGCTGAGCTGAGAGCCTAGTGTAGGACTCGATCCCAGGACCCTGAGTTCATGACCTGAGCCAAAGACAGACGCTTAACCGACTGAGCCACCCAGCTGCCCCAAGAATTCTATTTCTTAAGAAGGATCTGGTAGCCCTGGGGGGGAAAGCCAGCAAGCCTTGAGTGATCAAGTCTTCAACAGATAGGAGAGTTCCAGAAGGTCAAACCACCTCCATCCCTTACCCCTTCTCCCTGTGACCACCCAACAGGCCCAAAGAGTTTGTTAAATTTAAATTGTCCTTGGTCACTGAGCTAAAAGCCAGTGTAGAAATAGATAGTCATGGAGTCATTTCCTCAACAGATATTTCTGAGTATCTACTAGGGAAGAGCTTTGCCTTTGCCAAGGCCGAGGGAAGCATGGCGAGTGAGAGAGGCATGCTCCCGCCACTTACAAAGCTGGTGGTCTCAGAGAAGAAAATAAAAAATAAAAACAAGATGTGCAAAGGTTAAAATAGGGAATTCAACAGAGAAGCTATCATTTCTAACAGGCTGAATTTCCTGTGCCTTGAGGCTTTTTTTCCATCCTTTACCTATTCAAGCATACAATACACTTACTGAGTGCCTATCCCATCTGTCTTGCAGGGCACAGGGATGGGTCAAAGACATGGTCCCCGCTGGGGAGATGCCAACAGGGCTGTTGGGCTGAGAAACAGAGAAACAGCGGGCAGACAGCCCTTCAGTGTGCTGAAAGCCAAGAGGGAGCCCAGGATAAGGGAACAGTGAGGAAGAGCTAAGATGGCCTGGGGATGGAGCTGGCCAGGCAGGAAAATTCACCAAGGAGCTGAAGAAAATCACAAAGACCTTTGCCACTGGCCTGCTTCCTGCCTAGGATGGCTGTTTTCCTCAAAAGGGATCTGCATGGGAAAGGAAGGACATGGGAAACACTAGTAGTCTCGAAATGAATGCGAAATATTTTCATCAGTTACTTTCTGGAGATAAGCATTGGAAATCACTAGGCAGATTATTTGTTAAAAACCTGATTTCCTTACAAATATTTAAACAAGGCACTTTTATATTAAAGTAAGCTCCTAATTTGATTCCCAAGTTCTTTGAGGGCAGAGATTGTTTTCCACTAAAATCACATTATTTTTGAAAATCTTAGAGAGTGTGTATGAATCATATAAGGGGCAAGTTGAAATGTACTATGCTTTAATTAAAAACAAAGAGGCCTGCTAAGTAAGCTCATGATGTAAACAAAAGCAGAATGGGGGTGTTTCAACCACTTAAAAGAAGAGAACATATTTAAGAGCATAAGCATCTATTTTTTTTTTTTTAACTGAGATGCCTATTACAAAACATCCTTCCATAAGCATCACCAGAGATCATTTGGAAACTCTTTCGATAGCATTTTATTACTTCAATTACACTTAACACTCACAACAAAACCACAATTGGTATAGCACCTTCAAATTTATAAGGTGCCTTTACATAAATTGACTCAATTGTATCTCAAAAGAATCCTTTAGGCTTGATTGCGTGATTTCCATTTCTAGAAACTGGCACTGAGATTATGTGACTTGCCCAGGGCCATAACAGTGAAAGAGTGAGAAAGAAGAGAAACAGGAGGAAATCAGGAAAAAGAAATGTCAAGGGCAACCAAAGTGAGAAAGAACAGGAAAGCAAGCCCATTTTACCAGGCAGTTAGGAAGTCAGAGGTGATATTCGCAAGGGCACGGGTCTATCCAATGTTGGAGGATAAACTTTAGTACGGTGGGTTGTTCTCCCAATCGGCTTTGGCTTTAAGAGAAGAAAGAAACGGAGTAATACTTGCAAAAGGATATCCCTTTGGTGGGGGGTTGTACAGGGTTTTTTTCTTTTCTCTTTCTTCTAAATGGGAGAGATTTTATCTGGCATGTAACGAGCAC